AAGTCTAAAAACAGCTGATCAGATACATAGTAATAAATTATCACAAAAAATATTGATATGAAAATCAGCCATAAAGATCTCCACTGTCAATAATTATACATCTGGGTACTGGTCTTTCATTTTCTGTTGGAACTAATTCCAGCTGTTTAAGAACATCTGTTCCTTCAACAAGTTGACTACATGGGAGAAAAAAATAGAAAATTTAATCAGTCAAAAATTTTCGCATTTCATTTATATTCCTAAATTGAGTCCTACCCAGCTACAAATCCATTAAAAAACCAAACCCACTGCCGTCAAGTTGATTCCAACTCATACTGACCCTGCAGAACAGAGTAGAACTGCCTTGAAGAGTTTCCAAGGCTGTAAATGTTTACAGAAATAGACTACCACATCTTTCTGGAGTTGCTGGTGGGTTTGAACTGCCGACCTTTCGGTTAATAGCCAAGCTCTTAACCACTGCACCACAGGGTTCCTTTAACCAGCTATAAACCCACTGCAGTCGAGTTGATTCCAATTCATAGTGACCCTATAGAACAGAGTAGAACTGTCCCATAGGGTTTCCAAGGAGCGGCTGGTGGATTCGAACTGGTTAGTGGTCAGACGTTTAAACCACTATGCCACCGGGGCTTCGCTTTTACCCAGCTATAGCAAGGCTATTTCCTACAAATTAACATCAGTCATAAATATCCTAAATAGTTCTAGACGTGTCTACTTTGCAACGATAACCTACAATCTCAACCATAATTCAGGATGCCTGGCCTACTGCTGTAGCCACCTAGCCTGGTTTCCCCTCATCTGCTCTGGCACCCAGACAATCTTGTTATTCTCACTGTAGTCATAGGAATCTTTTTAAAATACAAATCTGATGTCATCTCCTTGCTTAAGACACTTCAATAATTTCCCACTGTGTGCATGTTGTTTTGTGCTGTCAAGTCAATTCCAACTCATAGTGACCCTATGTGACAGAGTAGAACTGCCCCATAGGATTTTCTTGGCAAATCATCAGGTCTTTCTCCCACAGAGCCGCTAGGTAGGTTCGAACCACCAACCTTTGGGTTAGCAGTTGAGCACTTAACCATTGCACCACCAGTGCTCCTTATAATTTCCCATTATCCTTATGATAAAGACCAAAATCTCTAGCAAGGCCTATGAGGGTCTGCATGGTCTGATTCCCCACCCCTGCAGGGCTCTCTTTCAGCATGTTCCCCCGTGCTCTCTCTACTCCAGCCAGGCTAGATTTCAGTACCTCAAAAGCCCCATGTCCCCTTCCTAGTACCCCTGTCTCCTCTCCTCTTGCCCTTCACCCACACTTCACCAACCTTTTGCCTGGTCACCTCCTGGCCTTCCTTCAGGTCTCAGCTCAGTTATCACTTCCTCAAGGAAGTTTCCCAGACCTCTCTGCTTATGTCCAACTCCCGCTGTCCTTGATGGGAGTTATCAGGGCTGGAAATTTACATTTATCTTTATGCTTCTTTGATTAATTTCTGATTCTTCCATGAGGTCAGGGGTCACGTCTGCTTGTGCTCAGTGCTGAGCATAATGTCTGGCACATACTAGGCACCTAATCAACATCCGCTGAACACATGAGTAGAAGATGGCTCAAAGCCCTGCTAGTTTGGATCTCTGTAGACATCCACTGGCCACGAGCTAGAACTCCCTAAGGAGTGGAGCTAGATGTTTGATGGTTCTTTCAATTAAGAGATGGCATCATGGGCCAGAGAGACAAGGCTGAAGGATAGGCTGGTGCCTTCTGCCAGTGCTTGGTCAGGGCAGTGGCTGAGGAGAAGGTACAATATCCCGTCCATGAACCTTCACAGGGGCATGGTCAGTACTTACACTGACTGTGCTCTAGCCTTCTCTTTATCCGCATCTGGGTTCTATTTTTGCCATTCTAATAAGAAGTTATAACACAGGGCAAGACTCAGGGTACATTCTGAGGATGAAGAGCAGGGGATAAGTGGATAGATTCACCTCTGCCCAAAGGAGTCTATTCTCCAAATAGGTTTCACAGATATTGAATGAGCACCTACTATGTGCACCTCTCCACTGTGAGAGGTGTGAGGGTACAGATGAGTGAGACCTAGCCTCTGCTTCAAGTTATTCACAATGTGCCAGAGAGGACACACTTGCTTTTGGCAATCGGGGAGGTTTCTGACCTCAACCTTGAATAGGATTTTGACAGAATGAAGAAGGCAGAAAGGAACAGCTTACACAAAGGCCAGCAGTATGAAGGGCATGGCTGTTCTGGTCTGGCTGTAGCTCAGCTGCCATTGTTAACTGCTTCCAATTCTACATCTCCAGCTGTGACCCAGCTTGAATATCTACCCCCTGGGACATTGCCATCTGCACGTCCTATAAGTATGTTAACCTTAAATATAACTTGTCCAACCTGAACCCATGATCTTCTCTCCCAAATCCTCTTTCTTTTATTCTCTATCTTGGTGACTGGCACCAGTCTTCCAGCCAGTTCCAGAATCCTAGGAGTTAGTTAGACCTGCTTCACCCAGCATGGTGGCTACTAGCCACATGTGGCTATTTAAATTAATTACAACTAAATAAAATTTAAAAGTCAGTTTCTCTATCTAGCTCAACTGGCATAACACAGTTTATGAAGAACATGTTCTACATTCTAGTTTGGTGAGTGGCGTCTGGGGTCTCAAAAGCTGGTGAGTGGCCATCTAAGATACTCTACTCGTCTCACCCTGTCTGGAGCAAGGGAGAAGGAAGAAAACCAAAGACACAAGGGAGAGATTAGTCCAAAGGACAAATGGACCACAACCACCACAGCCTCCAGCAGACTGAGTCCAGCACAACTATATGGTACCCAGCTACCACCACCAACTGCACTAACAGGGATCACAATAGAGGGTCCTGGACAGAGTTGGAGAAAAATGTAGAACAAAATTCTAACTTACCAAAAAAAAAAAAAAAAAAAAAAGGCCAGACTTACTAGTCTGACAGAGACTAGAGAAACCCCGAGAGTACAGGCCCCAGACACCCTTATAGCTCATAATGAAGTCACTCCTGAGGTTCACCCTTCAGTCAAAGATTAAACAGGCACATAAAACAAAACAAGACTAAATGGGCACACCAGTCCAGGGGCAAGGATGAGAAGGCAGGAGGAGACAGGAAAGCTGGTAATGGGGAACCCAGGGTCGAGAAGGGGAGAGTGTTGACATGTCGTGGAATTGGCAACCAATGTCACAAAACAGTATGTGTATTAATTGTTTAATGAGAAACTTGTTTGCTCTGTAAACCTTCATCTAAAGTACAATAAAAAAAAAAAATATAAAACAAATAGTATTTATATATTTGAAATAATTCCAAATTAAAGTGAGATGATATAAATTAGATATTAATAACTTTTCCCCAAGTATTCATTTTTAGATCTTATCAGATATGTTCTCATGAAGGTTTAAATCAACTACATAAATCTTCAGAAGCGATTAAAATATCTATATTAAATAAATAAAAGTCCATTTCTCTGTTGTACTAGTCACATTTCAAGTGCTCAATAGCCACATTAGAAGTTTGAATGTCTAGGGCATTTCCATCACTGCAGAAAGTTCTGTTGGACAACACTGCTCTATCCTTTCCATGCCCTCACCCCAACACCTAAACAGTCACCAAGACTTGCTGATTCAGACTTCTAAATATCTCTTGAATTTGTCCATTTATCCCCTGCTCTTCATCCGTACGGCAAGTGCCTTAGACTGGGGCTTTATTTATGACCCATGGGTGGCACAAATGGTTAAGAGCTGGACTACTAACCAAGAGATTGGTGGTTCAAGCCCACCTAGAGGTGCCTCAAAAGACAAGCCTGGCGATCTGCTTCCAGAAAGTCACAGCCTTGAAAACCCTACAGAACAGTTCTACTCTGCACACTTGGGGTCGTCATGAAGTCAGAATCGACTTGATGGCAACTAACAACATTATCATAGCTTCCTATCTGGCCTCTCTACCATCCTTTGCCAATTTATCCCTCACCTCTGCCAAAGGGATTTTTCCAAAATGAGAACCTGATCCTGTTACTCCCGATTTAAAATTCTTCCATGGTACCCCATCACCTCCAGGTGAGGTCCATGCTCAACAGCATGGCACCTATGGCCCTTGTCACCCAGGGCCCTGGGCCCTGGCTGTCTCATATTCTCCAGCCTCCTCTCTCTCCATCCCCCCTGGGCACTAAGCTCTAGCCAGACCAAATGACTTGTAGATAAGATACTGTCTTACTCCTCAGGGCCTCTCTTCAGGCTTCCTAGAATTAATTTTACTAATTTTAATTTCCTGCATTCTCTATCTGGCTAACTTCTACCTGACCTTCAATACTCAGCTCATCTTTCTAGGAAGCTTTCCATGACCCCCTTCCCCCTCACTTTATGGTCACTTATAATGAAATTAATTACTCCCACTACTATCGGCAACATATCTATCATAAGGACACATTTCTTCTACAAATGGAGATCTTACAGGTCTGTATTTTGATACTCTTTCCCTATGAGACCACTGGGCAAGGTTGTGCTCTTGGGTTGGTTCATTCTCCCCTGAACGAGAGGCAGGTTCTTGCACCAGAAACAAGAGTTTGGAAAAAGGGCCTGTCTCAGACAGGAGAGGAAACTTCTATTTCTCTCTGGGCCTTACCAGTCTGGGCTTCCAGAAGCTCAAATACACCTGGGGATGTTCACAGAAAGCATCTACCACTAGAGGCATCCCTGGATGAATTATATTTTGTCAGATTATCTGCTTCTCCCCTAATGTTCTGTAAGGTCTTATTCATATATTCCAGCCCAGCCTCCACTGTGATTTGGAGATTTAAAGGATAAATGGAGATCACATTTGGGCCACAACAATAAAGAGGGGCGCAGCACCTCCCTGAGGCCAGTGTGGTGGTGACAACAAAAATTAGTGAGATTCCTCAAGAGGCAGGTGAATCCTGAACAAGCATTCCTCCACCCAAGGGCCATCCTGTAAGGATCTGCATTCACTCTTCCTAAAGAAGTTGGGAGTTCTATGAAAGGATAAAAGGTTAGCAGTGCCCTTCATAAGGATGGAAGAGGCCCTCTCGGGCCTTACAACACGCATAAATAAGGTTAAGGCATTGCCACCCACTTTGTGGCATCTAACCACAGTTTTGAAGCCCTGGTAGGGCTGTGTTAAGAGCTTGGCTGCTAACCAAAAGGTTGGAAGTTTGAATCCACCAGCTGCTCCTTGGAAACCCTATGGGGCAGTTCTACTCTGTCCTATAGGGTCACTATGAGTTGGAATCGACTCGACGGCACACAACAACAACAAAGAAGTTGGAGGGTGTTTTCTTACCCCTCTCTCCTAAATTCCCAATGCACCCTGTATAGAACTTGCATAGCCCATGTCTCATGTTCTTACAGTTGTTGGTTTTCTGATCTCTCTTCCCTAATAGACTACAAACTCTGGGAAGGGCAAGAATTATGCCTCATCCCTCTTTCTCCACCATTGAGAACAACGACTGGCATATTGCTGTTGTTGGCTGCTGTCAAGTTGATGTTGACTCATAGTGACCCTATGTGATAGACTAGAACTTCCCCATACGGTTTTCATGGCTGTAATCTTTATGGAAGCAGATTTCCAGGTCTTTCTCCTGCAGAGCCACTGGGTGGGCTAGAACTGCCAACCTTTCGGTTAGCAGCCAAGTGCTTAACCATCGTGCCACCAGGGCTCCGTGACTGACATATTGTTGTTGTCACTGGGTGCCAGCAAGTCACTTCCAACTCACAGGGACCCTGTGTGACAGGGTAGATATGACTCATAGGGTTTTCTTGGCTATTATCTTTATGGAAGCAGATCACCAGGTCTTTCTCCTGTGTGTTCAAGCCACCAACTTTTCGGTTAAGGGCTGAGCATTTAACTGCTGCACCACCATGGCATATACCAAACCCCCTGCCATCAAGTCATTTCCAACTCATAGCGACCCTATAGAACAGAGTGGAACTGCCCCACAGGGTTTCCAAGGAGTGGCTGGTGGATTCAAACTGCTGACCTCTCGGTTAGCAGCCATTGCCCTTAACCACTGCACGACCAGGGCTCCACCGTGGTATATAGTAGGTGCCTAATAAAATGTTGCTTAAATGAGTGAGTCAGGAGGAGAGCAGAAGTGAAGGCTGAAAAAAGATGTGGGGCCAGAGAGTGAAGGACTAGACTTTAGGCTCTATGCATCTGCGGGGAGGTGGTGATGGAGGCATTAAAAATTTTAAAGTAGTCATGTTTGTGTTTAAGAAAGATATCTTTAGCAGAGATATAAAAGAACAACTAAGCAGTCAGTAGAGGGAGACTGTCAGCAAGATGGTAGGAAGATATTTAAATAATCTAAGAAATTCTGAGGGTAATTTGAATTTAAAAATAGGAATGCATTTTCAAAATCAGAATACAATTTAGTTAGGACTGAAGACAACACATTATTTTAGGTTATAATCTAATAATACAAAATCATCTCTTTAAAGCAGTATCCTTTGGATGAAAATACATTTTCTATCTACCATATGAGCCAGCAATCCCACTCCTAGGAATACATCCCAGAGAAATAACAGCCGTCACATGAATAGACATGTGCACACCCATGTTCATTGCAACATTGTTCATGGTAGCAAAAAGATGAAAATAACCTAGGTGCCCATCAACAGACGAATGAATAAACAAACTATGGTACATACACACAATGGAGTACTATGCGACGATAAAGAACAATGATGAATCTGTGAAGCATCTCATCTGGAGAGCATTATGCTGAGTGAAATAAGTCAATCACAAAAGGACAAATATTGTTATGAGACCACTACCGTAAAAACTCATGAAAAGGTTTACACACAAAAAAAGAAACAATCTTTGATAGTTAGAAGGGAGGGGAGGAGTAGAAGGGAAAAACACTAAATAAACAATAGAGAAGTGGTAACTTTGGTGAAGTGGTAACTTTGGTAAGACAGTACATAATACTGGGGAAGCCAGCACAACTTGTCCAAGGCAAGGTCATGGAAGCTCCATAAACAAATTCAAACTCCCCGAGGGACCAAATTACTGGGCTGAGGGCTCTGGGGACCATGGTCTTGGGGAACATCTAGCTCAACTGGCATAACACAGTTTATAAACAAAATGTTCTACATTCTACTTTGGTGAGTAGCATCTGGGGTCTCAAAAGCTTGTGAGTGGCCATCTAAGATACTCCACTGGTCTCACTCCATCTGGAGCAAGGGAGAAGGAAGAAAACCAAAGACACAAGAGAAAGATTAGTCCAAAGGACTAATGGACCACAAACACCATAGCCTCCATGAGACTAAGTCCAGCACAACTAGATGGCACCCGGCTACTACCACCAACTGCTCTGACACAGATCACAATAGAGGGTCCCAGACAGAGCTGGAGAAAAATGTAGAACAAAACTCTAACTCACACACACACACACACACACACACACACACACACACACACACAAAGACCAGACTTACTGGTCTGACAGAAACTGGAGAAACCCTGAGAGTACGGCCCCTGGACACCCTTACAACTCAGTAATGAAGTCACTCCTGAGGTTCACCCTTCAGTCAAAGATTAGACAGGCCCATAAAACAAAACTAGACTAAATGGGCACACCAGCCCAGGGGCAAGGACGAGAAGGCAAGAGGGGACAGGAAAACTGGTAATTTGGAACCCAGAGTCGAGAAGGGGAGAGTGCTGACATGTCATAGGTTTGGCAACCAATGTCACAAAACAATATCTGTATTAATTGTTTAACGAGAAACTTGTTTGCTCGGTAAACCTTCATCTGAAGTACAATAATAAAAAAATACATTTTCTACCTCTTCAACCTGGAAATGTCACAGATCTTACACTCAAGGAATAATTGTGGTTAAAATTAACACTGACATGAAATGTCTTCATGGACTGAAGAGTTAATAGCTATCCCTAGGGGTGGCTGGATCCCTATTGGGCGGCTGGAGTAATCTAATAATTATTCAGCAAAATTCTAACCCTTTACATCATTTTAAGGAAGACAAAGTAAGCTTCACCTTATATTTACTTCAGTAATTAGAGATGTGAAACACTAGAGTGATGAAAAGTATAGTCATCATCTATTTTAGGTCTACATGCCTATAAGCAGCTTGCTAATAACATTGTAATAATAATTATTATCTGATATATTTCCATATTTAAAATTGTTCAGTAAAAAGAGTTATTTGTAACTTGGATAGTTTTCATCCATCTCATGATGTTCATGGACAATCACTTAAACAGCTTCACCTCCTCACTTCTCCATCTAAATACATCTACGTTATTAAGCACTATGGTATGATTCACAGCAGATTAAAAACTGATAATATCCTTGAAGCTGAAAATGGATAGATGATGGATGGATGGATTATAATATTATAATGGCTGTGCTTAAATGGTATTCTTTATAGATACAAAGCTTCTTACAAAAAATGTATTTCTAAGTATTTCTAGATACCATTCTTTTCTATATTTGTATTACTTTTGCATTTAAATCCTATCTTTAGTTATCCACAGACTATGTACAATACTTTTTCAAATCTTTTTGAATGACATTTTTACAAGTATGAATATTATATAGACAAACATAAAATGTACATACCCAAAAGCCACATATTTTCTATCTAGATAGGGAGCTGATTGTAGTGTGATATAGAATTGTGATCCATTGCTGTGACGGCCTTTGTTGACCATTCCAAGAACTCCCCTTTTATTATGAGGAATTGAAAAGTTTTCATCTGGAAAAACAATAATCAATACGCCATTAAAATATTTCTATTATCTCATCTGAATGTAAGATTGATTATAACATGTAAGGCGAAAAATAAAACTGTGGGTAACAATCTTAATCATACTTACCCATACATTCCAAACTGTAAATATTCTGTTTCATATTATTTTCAAACATTCAAAAACACAAACTGTAAAAAAAAAATAAACTGTAGAATTTTAGATGTGAATATTTAGCTTTAGTTTATCTTTACTATAGCTAAAAATAAGTGTGCTAAGAAAATTGTTGTTGTTGTTAGGTTATGTGGAGTTATGTAGATTCACAGTGACCCTGTGTACACCAGATCACTGCCCGGTCCAGCGCCACCCAGACAATCCTTACTATGTTTGAGCCCATCTTTGCAGCCACTGTGTCAGTTCATCTCACTGAAGGTCTTCCTCTCTTTCACTGACGCTGATCCTCAATTTTACCAAGCATGATGTCCTTCTCCAGGGATTGGTCCCTCCTGATAACATGTCCAAAGTATGTGAGACAAAGTCTCTCCATTCTTGCTTTTAAAGGAGTATTCTGGCTTTGCTTCTTCCAAGATAGATTTGTTCATTCTTCTGGCAGTCTATTGCATATTCAATATTCTTCACCAACACCATAATTAAAGGCATCAATTCTTCCTTCATCTTTATCCATTATTCAGCTTTTGCATGCATATGAGGCAACTAAAAACACCATGACTTGACTCAGGCCCACCTTAGTCCTCAAAGTGACATCTTTGCTTTTTAACACTTTAAAGAGGTCTTTTGCAGCAGATTTGCCCAATGCAATACATCGTTTGATTTCTTGACTGTTCTTCCTAGGGTGTTGATTGTGGATCCAAGTAAAATGAAATCCTTGACAACTTCAGTATTTTCTCCATTTATCATGATACTGCTTATTGGCCCAGTTGTGAGGATTTTTGTTTTTTTTATGTTGAGGTGTAATTCATACTGAAGGCTGTGGTCTTTGATCATCATCAGTAACTGCTTCAAGTCCTCTTCACTTTCAGCGCGCAAGGTTGTGTCATCTACATATCACAGGTTATTAATGAGTTTTCCTTCAATCCTGATGCCCCATTCTTCTTCATACAGTCCAGCTTCTTGGATTACTTGCTCAACATACAGATTGACTAAGTATGGTGAAAGGATACAACCCTGACACACATCTGTCCTGATTTTAAACCACACGGTATCCCCTTGTTCTGTTTGAATGACTGCCTCTTGGTCTATGTGCAGGTTCCTGATGAGAACAATTGAGTGTTCTCGAATTCCCATTCTTTGCAATGTTATCCATAATACGATCCACACAGTCAAATGCCTTTGCATAGTCAATAAAACACAAGTAAGTATCTTTCTGGTACTC